GGTAAAGACACTTTTTTCCCCCCTAAGGGGGTGGTGGAGACCAAACACTGAGCTAAAAATAGAGATACATCTTACTTTATTTCACCAGGTGGGCGTAAATCCTACAGTTGAAGTAAGTTGCATAAACAGGCAATGTACTTCAATCTAAAACTTCAGAGTCATTATACTGTAGGTAAATTGTTTGTTTGATTGTTTTAATAAATGCAGTTTTGCAGGAGATACATATGTAAACAGCGCAATGCAAGATTAAACTCCACCATTAAGTCCACTTAGAAAAGGTCCAATAGGCCAGTCAACTCAAGAACAGATGAGAAGTAATCAGATGTAAAACTGTGGCTTTTTTTATGTTGACTAATTGTGATTTCTAGAGTAGTGCTCCTGTGCTCTTAGTTATGTTTCTAAACTATGTTTTAATGGAGCCCCCCCTTTATTATTTTTTTCCTTTACATGACTAACTTTGCTTTTGTGTGTAAAACGTGCTATGCAAGTAAAGTGGCCTCAGCTTATTTTCTTTGTTTCTGGTGTCCCAGTTGTGGAAAAAAAAAGTTCTAATCTTTGTGTCTTATTGTCTTAATTGATTCAAGATATCATAATTTTTTTATTGAACCCACATTTTTTAAACTGCACTGCCTCATAAACGTTAAAGTTTACGTTCCGGCTTTACAAATATAATGATGCACAACTGTACATGGTGATGAATATTTTTTTTCATATGCCCTCAGGACTAAAAAAAAAAGACCCAAAAACCCCCATAATTTCTGTTCTGTAGGAAATGAGAGATAATCATAAAAGTTCACAGCAGCCACAATCCCCTTTGTAAACAAGATGTTAATGATTAATGTGTTTACAACAATAGGAGCTCCAAATAACGGCTTCATTTTAAGCACTGTAACCATAACAAGACACAAAAAACAAGGACACGTGTGAAAGCTGAGCTGCAGTGATCCCCAGGCACTGATTTTTACACACGGTCATTAATGAACTAAGCCTCGGCTGTGGGAGACCCAAAGCTTAAAAAGAAATAAATAAAAATGTTACAGTACAGCAGCATGAAGCACCTGTGAAGAGACGAAAAGACATTATCTGCGTGTCATAAACAAGTCGCTTCCTCTTTCTCTTGTTTTAAGAGTACATGAAGGGCCGAAGCGTGCCACACGTTCCCGGCTGAATGTTTTTTTTTCCTCCCCAGAGTCACACTGGCCCAGTCAGTTCACATATTTGAGAAAATCTCACAGCTCGAGCGTGAAATATACAGGATGACAGTTTTTCAGCAGCAGATCCAACACAACAGGAGGATTCCTCACAACGCTGCGTTTACAAACCGCGCTCAGGTACGACAGTCAGGGATCAGCTACTGCCACGTGACATATTTACATTTAAACCACGTGTTAAAGAACACAGTTCATACTGCAGTTAAGACCTCAAAATGAGCCATCAACTGTTTTAAGTGCACACTTCATGGAAACTCTCAAGTCTGTTATTTTCATACAGATGATCGTAGCATTTGAGATCTGCTTCTGTGTTTAATTTTGCGGCCTTCAGCAGCAGGTACCAAACTGGCAACCACCCAAATCCCTCTAACAGATGGAAAGGTGGATCATCTTAAATAACATCCTGGAAGTAATGTTTGTGAGCATAAGGGGGATAAAATCAAGCGTTCTGGGATTAATAACTTAAAATATATATATCTATATATCATTATTTAACTCTATACATAAAATAAAAACTAAATTGTCTATTTGCAAAGCACATACAAACATTGTACCGCTCTGATATTCACTCCCAGCAATCTAGAGTGACCCAGACATCTAAAATAGGTAGTTTATACTCATTAGCCTTTCACCCTGAATTCCAAAGATGCATTTTCCAAACTTGTTCATTTTACAACCCTCACATTGGATCTCATTCCCACTGAAATTAAAAAAGGCCGTACTGTGTTACAGCTAACGCTCAACAATCCCGAGGGCAACAGGCGGTTTCAGCATTGCACGCTTCTACCATTCAGTCTCGTCTTTGTCTCCATGAACCCGATTACAAACTGCATGCACAGAACTGTCAGCATCATCATCTTTGCGTTGCTGAAGCCTCTCAAAACCTCCCAGGCGCCTCTGTAATCAACACCTCCTCATTAGAATATTGTTCCTCCATAAACAAAAACTCCCTGAAGCAGACACCTCGCGCTTCCCGAGATCAATGCGATTTCTTCAGCTACTGGCTGCAGGCCCGAAACGCCGTCGCCGTGAGCTGGTTTAGAGATGCGCTTCCCCTTTTCGTGACAGGCAGCCCAGACAAACTCCTGACACCTACCTGCTGAACCGACTGAGGTGTAAATATCTTTTGTTCTCTGCGGGGATGTGATGAAGGATGAAAGCGGAGCGCAGGAACAAAGAGGGAAAACATTTAACTTGACTGTTACAGGGTGTCTGTTGCTTTCAGCAAGTTCAGCTCTTCTGGTTTTAGTGCTCCGTTAGCAGGCGTTTACATTGGGCCACACACATTTCGCATGACTGGGTTTCATTTTCAGCATTTTAAAGCTTGCACGAAAGCATGTCATTCACCGAGGAACAATGTGAATGTGAATAAAATAGCCGCACTGAATGCATAGGGCTCCGAGTATTCCCAGTTTTACATCAAATATTCAGACACATGCTATTGCAAAATTCTTTTGAACAAAACAGTGACACGAAAAAATACGTGTCACTGTTGGACTGTGTCTGAAAGCTTCTTCATCACAGCTGGAGGATTTTTCTGCGACTAATTTAAAGTGGAGCACTGTCTCGTATTTTGTCTGTGACACAACCCGGATCGCAGCCGGGCAGCAAATTAGAGGAGTCATGTTCGGCCTAGAAATCCCCTCCTCCTGCATGAAATAGAAAATGTTTCTGTCAAACAAGGAGCCTAGACTACACAGTGTGGTGTTAGATGAGATGGACGGATTTTTGTTACATCGCGCCCTCAGAAACACATTTTCTACAGTAATGTACCGTTATTTTTGAAAACAGCTAAAAAGGTTGAGAAAAAAAAGATAAACAGCAAGTTATTCTATGTGTTTTGTTACTAGAGTCGGCATCTCATTGTTCACGTGGCTCGCAATGGGCCACAGAAACCACTACAGCCATTAATCAGCTTTTCACAAGTTGCCTGTTTCAGAGATAAAAGGTCCGAATCCAAATATGACAATTAAAGTCGCTGATTGGCTACTGTTTGCATGATATTTCCGTTCGTTTTAAAACATTTTACGCTTCACTGCATTGTTTAGATGAGTTTTAATCATGCATACTTATAACCTTATGTCTTAAATGTCTCAATTCTTTGTTATGTAACAGTTAAAAATAATCAGGAAAAAGCTCTGTATAGGTAAGACTTAATAGGAAACATTAAATGACACGTAGACGTGTCGGTTTCATCACTCAGCTACATGTCTGTCTATACACGTCTCCACAACCAAACGTCTTTAATTATTTAACAGCGGAGAGGAAAGGCAAAGGTTCTACTTTATGCATTTCACCCGTGCAGGCTGCATGAGTCGCAGTATTTCAACATGTCCCTGCTATTAGGAAGGTCAAATCCAAGGTCAAAGCAGAGGTTGAAAGGTCAAAGAGAGTTGATATAAGATTTGAAATGTTACTTTTCTTACTTTATTTAAGCCTTTCACCAAAATAGGGTGAATATTTAAAGTGGCCATCTGAACACGATACCTAAGTATTAAAGTCAAAATGTTTCAGACATTCTCTGGTTTTGATTAATGACCAACAATTTTCAGAATCAGTTTAGGTTGCCAAGAATTAGTAAAGTCTGACTCGATTTTTTTTCTGTAGACCCGATTTTGTTAAAAGTTTGTTAAAATGTTAAATACAGCAGCATTAGAGTTTTTATACTTACAGATTTATAGTATTTTAATACAATTTATGCTTATAAACCGTCTATAGAGCTGCCAGTCTGTAAAGTAACAGTTGTAGCGCTGTTACATCAGCTGCTATCTATAAAGTCTCACCGTGAATTAAGCTGGACTCAAGTACTTAACTTAAAGTCAGTTTTCTTCTTTTAAGCTGATTTCTAAATTGAATGCAAACAAGAAAGCTTTAATAAGGTAGGGGATTAGAACGGCCTTATTTCTCCTGTGGAACATGGTGAACTGTACTGACTCTATGTGTGTCAAGTGCCTCCCTTCTTCCCTGCCACAATTATCCCGTTGCCCTCTCATTGGATACCGCTCATCCCGCTTCTCAAACCTTTCTCTAAAGTGCACGGTTAAATAAAGCCAATCTGAAATCTGTCACAGCGCCTGGATGAGCTCACAGCGAGGTCAGGAAGTGTCTCAGCACTAAACAGCCTGTCACCACAGAGGTGTCTATACCAAATCCAGGGTGTTTCCTTAACACTTCGGCATGCAGATTGTAATGGGAAATTCACAGCAAATTACCACACATTTGCCCTGGGCTTTAGTCATTTATAATATCAGAGATCACAGCCTGGGGAATGAAACCAATGCTGAAAGCATCCTCAAAATAAGAGAGCAACCCACTCCCAGAAAGTCTGTACAAAAATACACACAATGTCCAGATTTGTGTTTCTCTGTAGGCCATACTGCATAAACCACGGTCACAGGACAGACATGTGCGACCTCTGACGTAACTCACTGGACATATTTTGTTTAACTGGCTCGTTATGAGGATAATGTAGCTCGGGTTGCAGTGTTGGGATTTCACCATCACGCTCTGAATAAAATGGGGTAGTATAGTAACAGTATAAGTGCATAGCTTAGCATTAAATGATACAGAACTCAAGGTTATATTTCAGATCTTGCAAGTAAAAATAAGATTTCACATGAGAACATGTGGCTCAATAAATGTGTATAACATGATGGTTTGGGGTGAGAAATAACAAAAAAAGGCTTCACTGAGCTTTACAGATGACACACAATGGCTAACATGTTGGTGTGGATGACTTAGAAAAGATAATGAGATGTGAAACGAAACAATAAAGAAATCAAACAAAAATGAGAAATCATAATTTATTCAAAACTTGTGATTTGTTCTGCAAATAATGCTTTCTTTACATAAACACAAAGATCTCAGTTAAAAAGTGTTGTCATACATTTGAAATTCAACTGAAATCAAATACCCAGTCGTGAAAAAAAGGAAACTTTGATTCAATAAATAAATAACAGAAATGTTTTCAAGCAAACTGCAGCAGGCTATACTTGGATTATCTTTAACATATCAAAAACACCGTGTCACCTGGTAAGATTTTACACTGCAATTTTACTGCAACTGCAGCGTCTCTGATTTCTGTCTTTTTTATTTGGTTTTCTTTTTTACAACTAGATTTCATAAAGTTGTTTGGGTTTTGTTTTTTTCTCCTCTCTGAGGTTTAATATTGTGTAAGCACATTGTGGCCTTTCCGATGCTTTAAAACACATGGAAGATGAATTTTGGACTTGTTTTTTTTGTGTGTCTGTGTGTTCAGAAAGACGCCAAAGTGCATTTTGGAGGCGACAAAGCTGTGAATTTGCCTTGGCATCCTCAATTAGAGTCTGTGCTGAAAGATTGCAGTTTCGGACACAAACGATCCCAAAGCAATATCAATATCAATAAATTATCAATAAAGTTTGATCTTAAACGGGAGGCACTTTGCCGCCTTCTTGAACACAGCTTTAGAACAATTTTTAACCCTCGACATCATCAGTGTGATTTTTTTCCGGCCAAAAAACTTAAATAAATTCATGATTGATACAAATTAAAACTCATATGCAAGTTTAGCTTTATTACAACCCTAACCCTTATACCTGAAGTTTCATAAACACTCCAGTTTCAAAAACTTTGAATTTTCTGGCAACTACTTTAAGGTTCAGTCTTTACCGGGTTAATGGGTCTGGCTGCACTATGATTTAAAATATAGTGAAACAAGTTTTCTATTTTTCAACTGAAAACACAGACAGAGCACTTCCCCACTGCTTTACCCATTTCAGCTGCCTTTTCCCTCCTTACACAGACTGTACTCTTACATCCAGCACAAGAGAAAACTCGATTATATTTTACAAAAAGCAGCATGTCGCTAAAAGAAGTGGGGGGGGTTACTACAAGCTCATCAAACCCCAAACAGGAAGAGTAATACGATTATATCATCAAAAGAAGCCAAATCCACAACGCTTTTTAGCTACTCTACCTGATAGCACACAGGACCGGGGTACAAGAAGCACACTCAGCACTAAACTGGTGGAATCAGCTTAGGCTAAAGAGCAAGCGTTCAGTCATTAAGGTTTATGGTCAGCTTCCCAGTTCATCAGCACAGATGACTTTAAATTAAAGATTTACAGCGTACTGCTAACAAGCTGAAGCCACTTGTTCCACCTCAAAATGGGAGAAAAAATAATCCTTTAAGCGTTTGTTCTTCTAAACCCAACACCCACAACTGAGCAGGAGTCTGAGAGGACGGGTTGTATTGTAGACATTCACACAGAGACGGCCAGTCAACACATACCAACTGCTTAAAAAAAAAAAAGAATAGTGCATTTACACTGTGGCAATACTGTACAGAGAACAGTCAACGTTAGCGACAGTGTGCTAAAAATCGGCTCACCTTTTTATTTCTCCTGAGTCACTTTCTTCTAAAATATCACGAGGGAACTAAATGAAGGAATAAAAGGTAAGAAATGAGCCTCGGCCTGGTTGGCAATGAAAATATGCTGACACAAGCCTCGAGTCAAACGGCTTTCGCTGCCAACTGTATCTCTACACCTCCTTCTTTCTCCAAGACTGCAGTTTAAACAGCACAGCAGCCACAGACAAGGACATACAATCAGTTGGGGAAGTGTTCGTTTGAGGGAAGTTTGAGTTTTCTTGAATTTATTTGAAGTTTGGACCAGTTTTCATATATTGTAATCATTTTGTGGTAATATGTAGGTTTTGAGATGTTTTGGAAGTTAAAAAAAACCAACTTATTTTTTCACCCTTTTCCATCATCTTGGAATTTTAGAGTTGGCTAGACTGGTAGATATCCAGTTTGCTCCAATTGAGTATAAGAATATGATCAAATCTTCCCACTGGTGAAGGTGGAACCAGTTTGTTTTTAGCTGTTTGCAGATCAAAAGAAAGGGAAAAGTGGCTGATTATCTGCTTGTTGACTAGTCGGGTCTCTTTGGCTAAACTGAAGCTCCGTGCATTTAGTAAAACATGGCAAAAATCACATTAAAGGTAAAAATAAGCTCTCAGGAGCTCTCTGTGCAACCGCACATTACTGACATCAATCTGCATTTCAGCAATGACTGCAACGCATTAAAGGTCCCTGTCGATTTCAACCCTTTCTGGACCTGCACAGGAACCCTGTGTATTGATCTCCATCAGTCTTACACTCTGGTATTCGTCTCTTTCCCCTTCGCTGACCTTTGACCCTCTGTCCCTACAAACACCACGCTCTCCTGCAGAGTGTAAACGAGACGTTGTCACAACGTTCTTTTAAAGTGTTTACACTGGCTGCGGATTTATGCAGCGCACGGCGTGCCATGTCCCGCCGGAGCGTCTCTAACCTAAACACAACCCTCCAGTGGAGCTGGCTTTGGCCCATGTATGGGACGAGTGTTTACCCCGCACCCATCAGTCTGACTGGTCCCAGGCGAAGCAGAGCCTTTGCTCCGCCAGGCAGCACTGGATGCGAGCTGGGGCGATGCCCGATGGAAGATGAACAAGCTCTTAAACTTCCACGTGTAGGACGGCGGATTCTGGGAATGGATTAAATGAAGCGTTGTCCACTCAGCATTATCTTAAGTACCACTCCGTCACCCTCGTTTACACCCGAGTTCTTCTCTGATTATGCAGGAGGAACACCAGAGCGGTGGCAAAGACCGTAAACGAGGTCAGCTCATCAGACAGAGGCGGCTGGAGGCGTTACGGTGGGTTCACGCGGCACCCGGGTGTGGCTGGACAGGAAACCAGTTATGTGAGAAATTCACCAGCGGTCAAAGAAGCAATCAGATTTTTGGATTTCATTACTACCAAGAGTTTTTATCTGAGGTTATTAGATACATCTGTCTGAAATTCTTCTATTTTATTCCTTTTCCCCCATGAATCAGTTCATTAAGATTACATTTCACATCATTTAGATGTCAGAAATGTCAACGTGTCTTCAAAATGCTGCATAATAATGATAATTAGACAGAAAAAAATATTTATCGAATACTGTCAGCACCATTAATGGTCAGGGAATCAAATGTCATTATTATACATATTTGTTTTCCATTCATTTATCAGAGGGATTAGCGAACTGGAAACATGAGGCTGGAGTCTTCTAGGGGGCATTTTCCTCACTCTATTTTAAGTTTTTAGGAAGCACCAATGAGCAAAGTAATAATTAACTGCACCCCTGATCGAAATATGCAGTTAGCATCGTTTCAAATTTCATTGCCAAGTTGATGCAGTGTGAACACAGACTGGGATATGTGGATAGGTAGCAGGATATATTTAATCATCTAAAATCATCACACAGCCCTGAGGAATCTTGTTTACATACTACGTACATTCATGGCTACAGTGCAAAGAACAAAAAAGAAAAAAAAAGACAGGACTAAAATTTAAAATTCATCCAAACTTGTTCAGAATTAAATTACTATGCAAATTGAAAACGTCACAACTCCGTTAAATTCTTAAAAATCCTCAGAAATAAATATGCAGTGTTATAAGAACCATAACATTTGTGCGATAAGAAGGCCACTTTGCATTTAAACGATGACAACTACGACACAACTCATGAACTCATCTATCACCTGAACGGACGATTTCCAGACTAATTACTGCAAAACGAATCTCTTACTTTCCTAAACTTCGCCGTCCCCAGTATCGTTTGTTGGGTTTGCGTGCTTCGGTAGAAATCAACGAGGAACATTTAAAGCCTTAGCGACGGATGGCGAAGGCTGCTCTGAGAGAGAGCGAACAAGCAAAACATCATAGCTGCTAAAACGCTACAACAACAACATCTCAATACCCAAACTGAAGGGCGAACACGAACCCAACGAAGGACCATTCGGGGACAGCCCGACTGACCTGTCACAGCAGCATCAGATGCTTTTAATTGGTGGCTTCTGTCCCTACACTGATCCTACACAGTTTAAATGCATCTTTGCTGTTTTGTCTGATGACTTTAGGAGTACCTCGAATGTGCTATTAATGCATCTCAGTGCAACTTTGGCATTAAATAAAGAGCTACGAGTGAAGATCTATGAAGAAGTGCACTAAATGTACTTTTTCCCCATTTGTGAGTGCAAAATGTGAAGAAATTGCAGTACTATAGTTTTGGTTTTCGTGGAAAAAGTTTGATGTCCTATCTAAGAAAAACCTAAATAGTTTTTAGCATATAATCGCTAGAAGCCCCTTTTTAAAATGGATTGTTTTAAACCTGTAATTTCAACATGTTTTGAGTATTTTTATGTTGTTTCCAATACCAATAACATCTTTGGTTGCAGCCACCGTTATAGCCAGCGATAAGCTACCTGCCCAAGTACAACTTAAAAAACTTTACAAACAGGTATGAGGTGGATAAATAAAATATAAGAGGAAATAAAGTGAGCGGAATGACAGAAATGACGATGTTGACTGTGCAAAGTTCGGAAATGATCGCTCATTTCTCCGAGATGATGACATGAACGAACTGAAAGGCAAGACGGTTCACCTACAACTTTAAATAACACGTCTGATAACACATTTCCCAAACCATTTTTCTGATTAGCTTTCAATTCCATGTCACTGTGCTCCCTGCACTGATAAATACTGAAGTAAAACTACCACACATCTTACACGACCAGTCGAGAATTTTTTAACATGACAGAGATTTAGTTTCTTGTTGAATTTGTACATTTTAAAAGGCAACAAGCCTTCTCTGAAGATTTTTTTATTTTTTATTTTTAGGAGTTAAATTTATAGCAGAATGACATTTTCAGAAGAAGGCAGCTGTTACCTTGCGGTTCTCGACCTCTCCAGATCAACCTGGTGTCCAGAGTCCTCTATGACCAGATACCAGTCACAATGGAGAGTGCTCATTTTTTTACAAACACTTGTGTCTCTGAAGCAAAATGAGTTAACTTTTGAGTGTGGCTGCCTGTTCCTTCTCTGCCTTCTCTTTGGCCTTTTCCTTCCCCATCAGCTTCTCCTCTTTCTGAAGCATCACCATGATGTCGGCCACCTGTGAGGTGGAGATGTCGATGTCCTCCTTGTCGATCAGTTCCACTACCTGAAAAAAACAAAACATTTTTTGTTTAAAACCACAGAATAGAAGACAATTGAAGGCACGTGGAGGATGTACATGCACATAACAATACCCTCAACTTTTGATGATGCTTATAAAGCGCTTTTGTACTTATGGGAAAGACCAGAACGTTTTGGTGAGACTCCAACAAAGGAAAGTATTTTGGATGTAGAAATTACAGGATACTATGTTTTTGTATGTTGACACTATTTTGTCCTGGTTTATAGCCTCCCATTAGTTTCCATTACTTCTTTTAAAGTCTTGTATGATGAAATGGGCTGGAGATTTTTTTAGGTTAAACAGAAACATGCCGTACATTTGAAATGTTTTTAACAAGCGAGACTCTTTGAGTTTGTTCATTTTAAAGCATATCAAACCTCTAGAAACACATTAAGACTGTGGTATGTTTTTTAAAAGCAAAAGTAAAAACTGTGTATAAAACATATGTATTTGGCAGTCAAGTTGGCAACATGACCACAGTGATGTTAAAAAAAACTGCAGGCGCTGAAAAATCAAGCCAACAGTAGATACCAAAGAGTGCAGTTCTTCAAATGGCCACTAGAGGTTGGTATAATTTATGAATCAGATAAATCAGTTTTTTTTGTTTGTTTATTTTATAAAAACTGCAGTTCCTTGTGGCATGCTGGATATCAGCTCCAAGGCCAAATTCGGATCGATGATGACCCATTTTCCTCCTGCCAGTGATCAAAGTCGATCACACCTGCACTTAAGGACTGATCAGGGAGTTACCTGGCCATGGATCCAAAATGCTAATTCAATAATCTCTTAGCAATTTAGCTTGGAATAGAATAGAATAGAATCCTTTAATTGTCCCACATGGGGACATTTGGTTGTAACAGCAGCAAAAAAAAAAAAAAACATATACAGAAACAGAACAGGATACAGAACAGAAACACACACAATTTTTACATATTTACATCCTGGACAATAGTTACCAAAACAGAGTACTGTACAGTTGTCAACAAACTGCTCCTGTATGATTAGAAAGTGTTGGACTTTAGGACTTTTAAGTTGCGACCAACTTTACTAACACATGCCTTTATTTCAACTCGGCTCGACTGGAGTCAGCCAAGGATCTCTTGCACATCTTCAGCTCGTTCAAAATGCTGCTGCCCGCCTCTAAACTGGCATGAACTGTCCTCTCTCCACTGGCTTCCTGTTCGTGACATAATTAATTTCAAAGTCCTAACGCTGGTTTATAAATGCCTAAATGGTCTTGCTCCCCCCATACCTTTCCCAGTTACTTCAGCCTTATATTCCCAGACCCTTAGGTCAGCCAACCAGCTGCTGTTGGTTGTCCCAAAATCTAGACTAAAACCTGGAGGAGAACAAGCCTTTTCAATTATGGCTCCTAAACTCTGGAATACGCTGCCTTTAAATATTAGACAGGCATCTTTGCTTCCTGTTTTTAAATTTTGAAAACTCACCTTTTTTCTATAGCGTTTAGACTGGTGTGAGTTGATATGTTTTTTATGTGTTTATGTGAGTGTCAGTGTTTTTTTATCTTGTTTTTTTACCCCTTTGTTTCTGTACAGCACTTTGGGCAAACTTTCTGTTTTTAAACGTGCTATATAAATAAACTGGATTTGGATTTGAACTTTGGAATCAGAGAACTGACCCCAACACAGCGCGTGAAAAGGTGAGCCGTGAAATCAGCCGCTGTTGAACTTCAACAGGTAACAAAGTGATGAGCATTCAGGCTGCAGCCTCCGTTTCTACCTGTTCATGTGTCTACAGTAGAATCACCGTGACGATCGCTTTAAAGTCTCTTTGTGTTGGTTTTAATCTTGTATTTGTGTTGTTGGCTTTGTGTTTATACTAGGATCTGGAACTCTAGCCTGCAGGTTTATATTGTTAAATAGTAATTATGAGACAGTTTCAGATCATTTTACAGAGTAACATGACATGAGCGTAACGAGTGTCTTTAACCTGGGTGTTAAAGAAAAGTGTTCTGTGCAATATGTGCAATAATTACTTTTTGAGTAATGACCCCAACACTGATCACAGCAAAGACGGGACATACCTCCAACATGGACAAACATTTGAGCACTCAGCATTTTGCATGCATGTAAAATCATTGATATGATATTGATAATGAAATCGAAATTGCTAAATTCTTATCATTTCCCATCCCTAACAATGTTCCTCATAGCAGATCAACTCACTTTGATGACGTCGTCGATGTCAATCTTCCCGTCCTTGTTGTCGTCGAGAGCCTCGGCGATGCTCTGCAGCTTGTGCTCGGGAATGTTCTGGATCTGTCGCATGACGTTGATGAGCTCGTCGATGCTGACCAGGTTCTCCCTAAAGGTATAGAACAGACTGTATACAGGAAACGGTTACCAGGTTTGACAGGACGTAAAATGTGGTGGAGAAGTCTAGGGTCAACATGCTGCATTCAAGGTTCCCAAAAAATGAGCAAAAAAAACACACCAATCAAAAAAATTTGGGGCAATTTGTCATAACGGCAGGATTAATTGAATTTGATTTAGTTGAACGCATTTATTCATGCTGAATGCAGCATATTTGTTTTAAACTAATTTCTTTAAAGCTACCCTATGATAGAAACAGAAGCTTACATGCCAAATAATGTCCAATACATCCTTTTTTTTAAGATTTCGGAGACTTTCGTACAGTCTGAACAAACATCAAACATTTCCAATCATTTTATTTTAATGTGATTTAATTCATTAAATAGGTTAAAAAAGAAAACAAAAAAAACAACAACATTTAGCACGTCTGAAGCACAGCAACCACATGTAGCGAGCAGAAATGGAAGCTGAGAATAAGATGAGAGCAGTGTTTGATCCTTCATTGCACTGTTTCATCATCTGACACCAAAAACCATGCTAGCATGTTACAAGCAAGCAAATGGCGGTTTACCCCAGGTTTGCTTACCTCTTGGCACCGCTATATTTAGCAAAGAATAATCTGTAAAATTTCAAATGAATTAGGGACTCAATTTAGTCAAAACGGCCGAAAACGACATTAAAAAGTTATTATTCACTTTTGAGGGGGGAAACCTTTTGTTCCCTTTGTTATCTCCACCACCATTTTACAGTAACACTAATGATGATGATGATGAAGATGAAGATGAAGATGGTGATGATGACGATGAAGATGATAAAGTTATCAATTACAAAGACAAGCTATGTTAGATACACTGATACATGTCATGAAGCGTTTGGGTCAATGATCCATAAGTAACATTTTGATGTTTTCATCCTGTTGTCATTGTGTTTACCTGCTGATATAAAGTATAAACATGTTACAAGTGTTGCTTTAAAAATCAAGGAAATGTAATCTGAAGAAGATCAAAGTACTAAAGGCCAGACTGTACAGCTTAATTTGTTTAGCTTGATTTAACTGATGCAGACTCTACTAAAATCAACTTGTTTAACTTTTACAAACAGGAAAGATGTACTCTATCCCATCAGATTTATGCTAACAGTGAGTCTGTCTATGCAGTCACAAGCCAACACGAACAGCGCTCTTCATCAAAAGGTTACTTGTGGATCCTTCACTTTCAAAAGCTTCATGGCTTTTACAGACAAGCACACACACGCAGCTGCACAACCATCAGAGCGGTCTAGTTCAACAGCAGTTGGAGCACATCGATCACTTCCTTTATTTTTGTGACAAACACTGATCATTTTTGGCAAGCGTGCCTTTGGCTTTTGGGCAGAGAAAATTTGGCTGCTGCTTCCTGCCTCCAGTCTTTATTGAAAGCTTTACTGTCAGCTGATCATGCCCTGACTTCAGTTTAACACAGAGACGCTAAGGTGATGTTTCAGATGGCTCAGTTAGCCTTGCTAACTGATATTTTGCATATAAAAGGATAGATACAGATGTCAGTAGCCAATCTTTGTGTTGTATCAAGAGCTTTTGTTTGCTCTGAATATAAAATATTCAAAGAGTGATGAAGAGCTGAAAGACTTATAGTCTTTCTATAGAATGGTAAAATAACATTTTACTATGATTTATCTGTTTAACCAAACCACAAGTGGGAATAAATAACTTAAAGTTATTCATTTCATAAGCTCTGTTGGCTGTTAATACGATTGAGGCGTCTCACTGTGGGGAACGCTCGGTCAGCATTGTCCTTAGAAGCTTCTATCAACACTCCAGCAGGGGCAGCCCTCTTTTTTAAAAACAAATTAAATCATTTCTCATTCATTCAGCCTACCTGAGCAACCTACAATAGATAAACTGGGTCAGGCAGCTGTGGTGAGAGCTAGAGTGATCTGACTAGTGTAGTGGTTAGCGCTTATGCTACTGAGCCATGTGGCAATAATGCAGTTAGCTTGGCCACCTAGCTATTGTGCTAGGTACAAGGTGGCAGCTAACACGCTCCAAAGCCTAACTCTATGGCAAAGTCTAGTCTGTTAGGAAGATGTGAGCCAGTGACCAAGGTGTTAGCTTGCTCAGGTAGCGCATTAAGCTAGCACTCAGGTTAGCAAGAAGAATTTGAATGAAAGACAAAATGTGTCAAAGGGAACAGGATGGTTGTTATTTGACGCAAGTGTCACAGCTGCCAGTCTATACTGGCTGAACTAATGATGTAGAGCAAGGGTGTCAAATGTAATCGGCCCACCAAAGACGCCAATCTGGCCCTGGTCTCTGGAAAATGTGAAGGGAGGGGTAAATTTTGGACGTCTAACTGTATTTTCTCAAGTTTTGTGGCATTTTCTACTGATATAGACCACGCCCCCTGCCATTCATACTACACTACTAAACTACAGTAAATCAGAGATAGATGAACATGAAATGACACAAAGTTACCATTTTCACTATGTACTATAGAAATTTTGGATTTTGACAGTGAGTTTTCTGTAACAAAAAATAAAAAAAATAGACACGTGGATCAAGATCAAAGTGGGCTGTATGTGGCCCACCATGTAAAAGCATATAGAGGCGTCTGGGGACAAGACTGAGGGAGCGTTCTGCACAATAAGACACCAAAATGAAAAACAATTATAGAAACAAAATAAATAAACTGAAAAAATATAAGTATTAGTCATTAGTAAAATTGTTATTTTGAACTTCGGCATTAAGCCAGAATTTAAGAAGTTCCTTAGTAACAAAGCAGGTAAAGAAATTTCTTAGATGTTGAATTAGTTACACGTGACAGATCCAATTCTGTCTAATGCTATACGGCAGCTTCTCTCACTGAAGCTGTTACGGCTGCTGTTTTCTTACCCAACAGGTGGGGTGGATCCACTGTCCATCTGTCCATCCAGGATCACCTTGTCCTTCTCCAGCTCCAGGATGATCTTGTCAATGCGACCGATCATACGGTTCACCCTCTTAGAAAGCCGCTGGCTGGCCTTTGACTCCTCTATGGCCTTCTCCTGACCAGTCTTGGAGAGCTCCTTTTTTATCTCCTCCAGATCCTGGAAAACAGGGCACAGATGCAAATTTTGCACACACAAACCCCCCCGAAACAACCACATAAAACAACTCATGAAAAGCCAAAGAAGATGGAGCATTACAAATTAATACTCTATTTTGAGAGTAAAACTGCTTAAAAAATTAGGCCTGATTGGCAATAAATCATTAAATTTGTCCATTGAAGCCAAAATAAGGCACCTCATTGTACTCCTGGACATCATCCTTCAGCTCTTCCAGCTCCTCTTTCTCCAGAGTCAGCAGTTTCTTCTGCTCCTTCAGCTTTGAGCAGGCATCACTCAACAGGTCAATCTCTTCCTTGGTGATCTCCTCTGCCTGGAAGTTATAAAAAAAAGAAGAAAATATAAACATATGTTCTTTTAAATCAAGACAACCTAATCTGAAGTTCAGAAAAAAGTTACTTTTTCAGACTGTGAATTATTACCACAGCCACGTGGTAGATGGGAGCAAGATGGGTGTATACCACTACATGAACCAGGTCAAACACTGTCTTCACTTAGCACATATAACACGTGGATTTGATACAAAACAAACCCTAAAACAACTAAATATAAGTGGTAAAAGAGGGAAGCTGGCAGGCATAGTGGGATACTCCACATAAAAAACAACAACTGTGGCACTACAAAGGTTGTCAGTTAAGGATGGAAATGTTACACGGCTTGAAGGACTGACGAGGGGAGGTCCGTATAGACGTGGGCCAAACAGCATCTCTTTAAGAAATTTCAAAAATAAAAGTAATGAGTGGGAATTTTTATAAGTTAGAAAGTGCTGACAAATACTCACCACAGGTTATTAGCGCAATTTGGCCTAAATATATGGACGTTTGCATTTGCTGTTTTAATTTTTTTTTTAAAGAAAAGGAAAAAAAAAATTTCACATTCAGAAAATACAACTTCCTCCGAGTCTTTATAACAGGTCTGAAACTGGAATCTGTACGATTTTCATCCCAAAGCTGAACCTGCCCTCGCTACATTGTTGTTGCTCTCATCTGCAAGCACTAAGCAGTCACTGGTTTATGTCAGCATCAATGTTGTCATGAATTTGGAGGGTACTTCCTCTAACTCTGATTATGTTCTCAGTCTTGGGGGAAAAAACATGCTAGTGCTGTTTAACCCACATCTGGATCTGCTCAGAGGAAGACCAGACACCATAGGTTCAGGGATAGAACAAGTATCAGGGATCATTTGGGAGGAGGTGTTAATAAAGCCAACCTGGAAACGCAGAAACCTCTGCCACTGCTCAAACTGCATGGTACAGAATGAAAAGGCAGCAGCAAGTGAGTGAAAAATAAAAAAAGACATCAGGATATGATACAATCAATGTAAATCTCTTCTGTTGTCTGAAATTAAAGCTCCAGGTAAAGGAAACAATACAACATGATATTACGTGTAGTAGAAAACTGGATGTGTGCAGCACATGAGGCAGGTTTAGAGGGTTAAACTGAAAAGCTTTATTAGAATTCTGACTTTAAGTCAAAGATTATATAAATGCATAAAAATATTAAACATGTAACAGAATAAATAAAATAAATGTTATCATCTATTACTAACTTTACCTTGAGTCCCTCTATAATGGGTGCGGTGTCCTTCAGTGTCTCTGAATCGGCTGCCTTTTCAGCTTTAGATAAAGCTGGCTCTGCCTCACTGCGCTTCATCCTCTCTGCTTGAAGCTCTGGTTCACCCTCCTGCAGAAAACAGAGCATGGTTCAAACCCTATAGCAACACCTACAGAAACAACACTACAAATGACTGCAGGAAGCCTTCAGCTTTAAGGGAAATGTGTCCTTGTTGCAGCAGTTAGGGTTAGGCAGTTAGTTTTTCTTGTGAGAAACTTGCAGATTTAGAGTTAATCCAATCATGTGGAATAATACAGAAACCTTTTGATTTCTCTAAGCTGACGCTTCAATGAAAAACAAAGAGCACATGATTCTACCTGAAAACTCACGACTGTATAGCAAAAGCTTGGCCTCTAAGGCTTGGTCAGACTCTTTTAAGGTCTTTTGGTAATAATAACTTTATCTTAAACTGGCTCATAAAGTCTGTCAGTTTGTTGGCACTGGTATCAAAGACTTAAATAGCACTGGCCTAAACACTGAACAGACATCATACAGAGTCAGTACCCTGGCAGCCTTCTCTGCAGCATCAGCCAGCCTCTCCATCTCTCGGTCCTTGTTGTCCTGCCGTATGGCTGCCTCCTCCTGAAGCATGGTCTCCACTTTGGTCTTGTTATCCACTTTGGAGAGCTCCAACTCCGCCGCCATTAACTGGGCCTCTTTGGTCTTGAAAAGCAAGCAGAGGGCAGGATATTTGTCTGTATCCCAGTATTGACCGAGGCTGCGTGTTGAGCTTAAAGTACTGCCTGCGACTTTATATCCCAGCTCTGTGCTGTTTACATACCACCATTTCAGGAAGTGTTTGCAGCGTGGTTTTCAGCTGGTCTGCAGGAGACAGGGTATCTGGGAGGTACATGGCTCGAGACAAAAGCAGCAGAGAGGTGGGGATCTGCTGGTTGAGATGCAGCTCCAACCACTACCAGAGTCAAACACAACATTACAGAGGTTATTACAAATATGCAGTCACATACATCTTAAGAGTTTCACCCCTGATGCCATTCCTGAAGTCTCCAGACGGTCAAACCTCTACTTTATTTTTACAGTGAATAATGAAAAATGCCCCCATCTGTCTGCTGTTGGCGTTACCTGGCCGAGTTGTTCTCTCAGTCGTTCTTCTGTGACTCCCAGAGATCTCATCCCTCTGACACGACACGCTGCCTGCACTTCGTTCACATTCAGGCTTTCCACCCCCTCCTCTGCTATCAGCTGATAAACACAGAGAAGAGGTCACACAGAGTCAGGGGCCAGTGTCGCTGCATTCACCCGGGTGCTGCCGTGTGCTCAGACATAAAACAACAGGTTTATTTTTCCTTTTAACCACAGAGATTCGTACCTTGTCGTCTGCGCGGATGGCCCTCAGCTTCATGATGAGCTGGAAGCGGAGGAAGTTGTTGGTCCCAATTGACTGGAGCTCCAGGAGACGACAGAGCGCCACGAGCTGAGGTCGAGTCAGGTTGTCCAGCGTCAGCTCGTCCTCAAACAGTTTGGAGAACTTTATGATCTGCTCATTACTGGGACGCTCCCCAGAGTCCCGGATCTACAGTAATGAGAAGATCAGGGCTTAAATGAGACCAGGTTTACATGCAAAAGATGTACTGCTGTTCTCCCGTGCAAAGAATAACCCATGAAATGAATTTAGAGTTGAATATAGTCAGTGAAAGCATGTAGTAACAAGAAAATACAGAAGAAATACTTAAATTTCCACTATATCTTAATGGTAATCAACTGGTCACAACTCTGTTTTAAATAAAAAGAAATTAATATTTTCACCACCAGAGAGCAGCAATGAGCTTTTTATTCTTCTCATTTCACACTGCTCGGTGTTAGAAAGCCGACCTTTTGGAAGAAGGTGGAGAATTCCTCCGTCACGTCGCCTTTTGCTGCCTTATTCCTCAGAGCGATCTCCTCAATGGTGTCCTGCAAGAACTTGGCCATCTCCAGTTTGACCCTCAGCTCCTTTTTCAACCTCTCCTCCTAAAAAGCAAGAGGTTACAAATTCAGTGTGCTTAAAAGCACTACAGTAAATCCCACTCAAATGATGTTAGCACTGATGGTGAGACATATGAGGACCAACACAGTCTGAATCTCTACGGTCCGCTTGCGTTCAAAGCTGGAACGGATAGTTGAATCCACAGCAGACAAACCGTTTCAAACATTTTTTGTCAAATACAATTTTGATGACTGGAACCAGCTTCTAAACTAAAAGTTTTCTTTATCACACAGGACAGAACACAGGGTACCTCCACTAAGGAGGTCCTGTTTTTGTAAGTGTGGGTTTTACCGTCTGTGAACAAGCTTGAAAAGTTTTGAATGGATTGTGATAAAACTTTGTAGAGGTAGCTCACATCCACCCAGGTGTTCACTGTCAACTAATGATTTATTAGGGGAAAATTGTCTCATAACTTAGTCACTGTGATCCTTACCAGTGGTTTCTATTGCCAACATATAGAAACTACTTTATAAAGACTTAAAATATCAAGTCAAGACCTGGTCAAGCTCAACAGATTGGTCAAAGTGATAGTAATGTTATATAGGGCTATTTAAGACTGTTACTGTCATAGTCTAGATTAGATAACTGTCTAAATAACAACTTAAGTACATTTATAATATTCCTGAATAACACAACTACATATGACATACAGTTCCAATCACAATATTTAGCAAACCCAGCATCATGGAGCTAAAAATAAATACAATAAATAAATAATCAACCACCCATTTCTGCTTACCTTCTTTGTCTGTGTCTCAAAGGTGGACGGCAGCATGTTGGGGAAGAGTTTCAGAGCTACAGGAAGCAGGAACTCCATGAAGGGAACGATGATAAACACCAGGAAGGGAAGAAGTCTGAAGACATCAGCACATGTTCTGAGAAACTGAAAGGAAATTTAAAAAAAGGAAATAATATCAGCAAATGGGACAGATCTGTGTAAACTGATGGAATCTTTAAGTGAGACTATGAGCATCTATGTTAGCACTCCTGTTTGGATTTTCAAAAAAGAGTCGTTGTCTCATTAGGATCCAAGCACGTGGGAGCCCATAGTATCATTTTGTGTTGCTGCAATGATGCATGCATGATTTTTTTTTACCATTGCGATTTGATGTGTTTTTAAAGTGTTCTCAGATTTTTTTTAAGATTTTTCTTTCTTTTTTTTCTTTTTTTAAACATGGAGGGTACAGGGAAAAAGTGCCATTCATTCCCACCATTGTAGTTCATATCTGCCACCAGCAGAGGGCAGCAGCAATGCACAAACTGTGTGAAAATGTTGATTTCATCTTTTGTTGTCTCTCCTTACAATCGCCCCTCTAATAAGTTTCAAAAGTCAGCACTTCCAAGCCCACCTCTATACATCCCCCGTCCACCGAATTCACTCACACAGTATTTGCATGGAGCCATAGAGCAAAGGGAACATTTGGCCTCACAAGGCTCAAAAACTGTCCATTTGATCCAACAGGAAGCACATTTGTTCAGCGCAGAGCCGAACAATCCCGAGAGCACAGAAGCACTTGGCCAACACTGGCTGACTTCATTGTACGGCTGTCCAAACGTGGCTCGCTGACCATCCAGGACACAATTCCAGCGAGCCGTCTACAGAAACAGCACAGAGGGGAAAAGGCCAAAAACACGAGTCCTCCTTTCTCCGCTCTTCCCACCTGCATGTCAGTGGGCCAGTAGGGTGAAGGATTTAGGCCAGCCCGAGTGAAAAGGCCTTTGTCTGCAGGCCCATTGACATGTATATCATCTCCCAGAGTTCCACATCAAAGAGGGGAGGAGGGGGTGAGACACGTTCAAATGGAGGGAGCCTTAAACGGGAGGCCTGAGTATTGTAAGGGAATATGAAAGGAGGAGATTAAGGAGGCAAAGCCAGTCCAGGTTAGATGAATGGCATGTAGATGGGTTTGGGAGGGAGCCTGCTCCATTTGAAAAGGTGCAGATGGGGTCATAGTGTGGGCTTAATGGGGGGAAGCTGCGGTCATCCTCTGCACTGACCTGTGCCATTAGCATTCCACTGAGGCTTTATATCCCAGCTGCTTTAACATAATCACAATGAAGTCAGTTAATGAATGTGTATACTGTAGGGCTCAGTGTTATGGTGTATGACGCATACATATCTCTGAATTTGAATATTAAAGAAGCGACTTCACTTAAGAGTTTTGTAAAACAGGTTACATCACATCATTTCACAGAATGACACACCCTACTGCACTTCTGTGTAAGTGGATATTGAGAAACATGTCGTAAAATGACTCTGCAGTGACGGCTGTAAAATCTCTGCATGTCCATAACTTTCTCCAGCACGCTTTAACACGAATAATCAAATAATGATGAATCTGAGTCACAGTTTCATCTGAATTTACAATCAAGTGTAACACGGCAAATGGGTCATTTTGTTTTTTTAATTGGGAATTTTCAACAAAATTAAAATAAATGTATAATGGCAGATTCCCAAATATCAGTTTAAGGGTTTCTTTTAAGTTGGACATAAAGCAGTGAGTGAAATGTGAATTTGGCCACATATTAAAATAAGAACATGGAAGGATTCCCAGACAAGACCTCATTACATCACACAGTTAATACCTTTGTATTAAATCTATGTCTAGGTATGTTGTAGCCACATAGCCTCTGCTATTACCTGATGTGCACCTCCCTGGAAATGTATCAACACATCTCATAACACAGGCCGCAACTATTGTGATTGGCCTATGTTTGATTCCCGTTTTTGAATTAATCAGTGAGAGAATAACAATCATCACCACAACTCATGGATATCAGCAAATTCCTGGGGGAACATAGCCAAAGCTATCAAACTGAACGTGAGGGAATACACAGAGTGGGAAAAACCTGAAGAAAATACGTTTGCCTGACCGCAACAAAGAGCTGGGTCGCCGTCGGCCACTTGCGTAGGCTACGTTGCTCTACAAAGATTCCCTGCAGAAGTCTAAATCAGTCACTAAGAAGCATTTGCAACTCGCCAATTGTGTCACCTAAATCTGCACCATCCTGTGCTGCTGGATTGGAGGTAACAGTACATAAGTGTGAACTGAGCTGACCTGCCCACCTTCCTTGAAATGACACCTGTGTGCCAGAACCTTTGGCAGATTACCGAACCGAGTCCGAGCAGCTTGTCTCATCAGAAATATGCAAATATTTGCATTACTTCACACAAATCCTACATTTTTCATGCAGCATACTCGTGAAGTCATTTTAGTAACTGGAATATATTCTGTATTAAAACAAAACTGTGTAAATAATCGAATTTATCATATTTTTAATACCATGTCCCGTTGCACAGAATTTATCAACAACAGCTGCGTTAGGGATTTGTTGTGAAAGTCACAACAAAATGAGAGATGTAGGCTGAGTGCAGAGATGGGATGAATCTGGTACGCGAGGTAAAGCTTCTTCCTGAAGAGCTTTAATGAAAAGGCGCAATCTGCCCGGCGCCTGATGAGTAAACGCAGCGTGCGGCCCGTTTCCATAATTGATCCCATTAGGATTGAGAGGCTATGGATAAAACGGTATAGAACAAGATGTCTGAGCTGTCAGGCTTGAATCGGTGCTCAGTCATCGCTGATCTCTTAAACTCACGTCGGTTATCCTCAGTGGAAACTCTGAGCCGGACTAGAAAAAGAATCGTTTCCTTTCACTGGAAGCACTAAAAACTTTCATTTACTTGTTACTGAGCAACGTTTGAACGCCTCTTCATATTCTTCTGTTCATGATTCTGAGCTCTGTAGCTCTGTTACTACTGATACACCTGATCATGAGGCAGGAGAAACCTTTAAAACACAAGCCTCTTTTTAGCATTATCTAAATAAGCTTACATTAGCTGTGTTAGTGGGCTCAATTCACATTCTTGAAACTGACATTACTGTGTTAAAGACAAGCTAAAGCTTGTTCCAGGTGAAAAAAGGAAACTGTTTGCTGACTGGAGGTTGGCATTAATTCTTGCTCTGGGCTACAGACAGAAGGCATATTTCAATGTGGAAATGCTGGATCTTGTAGCTTCTACAAACAATTTTTCATTTAATAAACACACTTTTGTGCTACTCTGAGTTTGGTATAAATTGAAAAGATCTTAGGCTTAAATATTTACCCTCAGGGGCTGGAAACTAAACTGCAGCAGCCCACACACACACACACACACACAGACAGAGGTGTGTGTGTGTTACCAGTGCAGAGACAGCAATCACCAGGGAAAACCCTTCCTTTCACCTACATTTTTGTTCACTAACTGAAACAAAGTATAGCCTGCACTGGGATTCTGGTATGACTGTGTAGTACAAATGTAATCTTCACTTCACTTTTATAGATTTGGTAATGTCTTCTCATATCTGTGACATATGGCATACATCCCAGGCATTAAATCTGCTCATTCCAGCAGAAATCAGCAGGTTTTTACATTTCTGCATGACCGCGAAAGAATTACATGCTTTATGTGAATGTTTGAGAAAAGAAAAAAAAGGTCAGTGAGCCCACTTTCAAACTATCTCCAATGATCACACTGAAATCTTTTGCAAGGTTTTAAAAGAACATTCATTCCTGAAAAGCTATTAAAGATTAAATGTTCGCTGCCCTTTCTTACCATTAAACTAAATCAGGATCTGTAATTCGGGACAGATACATAAAAAAAAATGTCTAATTTAAAAATGTAAACCCCAACCGGCACCAGACTCTGCAGCAGACAAAGCCTGGCAGCACCCAAAGCAGTAACAATCTCTCCACAATGTAGCTTCTACAGAAATGACAATATCTTGCAGCCACACTGTGCACCACTCACCTGTCTCCTCTCACGGCGAGACAGAGGATTTCCGTTCAGCACCCTCCAGAACATCCGCCCAGCAATGGTGGTATCGATCCAAAGCAGCCTGAAGCCATGGTAGTAGTGCTTGATTTCATCTACAACCCACTGTCGGAGCGTCCTTCGGACAGGCTCTGCGTCCAGTGTCGGGCTGTACACCGGCCCTCCTTCCTCCAGCTTCTTCTTCTTATCCTTTAACGAACGCAGCGACTTCTCCACCTTGGAGTCATCCCATCTCCTCCTCGTGGTATGTATCCACCTGACACCAGAGATGTCTCGCGGTCGTACTATCGTCCATTGGGGCCCCGCTCCGACCGCAGGGTACAGTGAAGGGGAAGCCCCCGACGCAAAAGCGCAGTAGAGCCGCTGTGTGTCTGAGCTCTGACAGGGACCCACAAATTCATCTGACACGGGAAAGGAAGGTCCGAACGAAGAGACCTGAGCCAAGCTGCCGAGTCGGAGCCCATCAGGTCTGAGGACACAGAGCAAAGAGTTTCAGGACCCAAAGTTTATATCAAGTCTTGGACAAAATATAAAGCAGCATTTGAAATGAATGACTTCCTATAAAAAAGGAATAGAGTGTAATTTACAGGGAGGCACAAAAAAACAAAATTAAAATAGAATTTCACCTGAACATGCTGATAGATCTTAATTTGCATATCATACAACACATTTTGGATCATTTGGTTTAATTGCCTTACTTTTGACTGGAAAGTGTGAAGGCTGTGCAGCTGAAATAGGAACCCTCTTGTAATTTCCCTGTAAGAAAGAAGAAAATACGATTAAAGCAGGTGTGTCCTTGGGGGGAAAAAAGCCTTCGGACGGACACACACACGCACACACACAGTGTATATTGGTTTTATGAACGTCCCAGAAGCAAATCAGCACCTGCTCATCGGCAGTTATCTGTAGCTCCAACGCATTTATGCAGATTTTCTTAATAAACTGATAATCATACCAGCAAAAACACACTGTGCTTAAAACTAGTCATGCAATAACATCAATCATCAAACTTTGTGTCCTTTGCAATCGCCTGTTCAGGAATACCCATAAAAGTCAATTCACCTTGAGGTTGCCCTTTTATTATTTTGGGGGACGTTTCAGTATATACATAAAAAGTTAGTTTTTGCTATGGCCACATGTTTTGTTTTGTTTTTTAAATATTCTGCTCTTATGTATTTGTCTGTACAGAACCGCCTTGAAGTCGCTCAGTCTTCTGTAAATATCTTTCCACTGATCTTTCTTGGGTGGCTAATTATTCACACCCTCAGCGAGGCCCACAGCAGGGTTCACAGACCACTACAGTGATATGCATGCAGCTAGAAGGTGGAGTGGTGAGACACTTCTAACCAATCACACCAGAGGCGAGGGCTCGGCCACGCCCCTCTCTCACACTGCCGGCTGGAGTGAGCCCAACATGGCCCAGCTGAACATGAGGCTGTGGCCTGCAGCCAGGAGGACAGAGAGTTTACTGGAACAGTTTCACCTTTGTGGCTTAGCGGTCATCTACAGTAGCACAGACAGAAAACCCTGGAAATACAGTGGCCAAATCAACTCTCCAGCATGTCCCCAGGCTACACAGCACTGCTGTCTTTTCCCGTGTTCGAATCCCCCAGGGGGTTTTATGGTTTTGGTTTCACATTCAAACACTGCAAATACAATGAAATTCATTCTCCAAAAATTAGTCAAAAGAAATAAAAAGACACTTATGATGATGATATGAAATTGTGTACTTTCAGATAATTTGCTTTTTCCTTTCATTTTTGTTTTTGTGGTGATGTGATCGCAGACAGTTGCATAGCTGCATACTGTAAAATCCTTATTAAAGCAGAAGTAAGAAAACTGCTGATAGAAGCTTTCCTGCATTAACTGTAGGAATAAACCTTCATTAAGCCTGGGCTGTTAGTTAAAGTGAATAGAATATGGTGAAGTTAGGACATGTTAGGACATGGACATGTTACACTAAAGTAACCAATCATGAAACTATAACCTGGGAATAACAATATATTGAATATTGATTTGTTCAATCAAAAGGTGTGAGGCCAACTGATTGGTTGACTGGTTTACCAACTGGATCGTCCGAAAAGAAAAATCAGGGAAACTATAAGAAGATTTACATCACCGCCTCTATATTCCAAGGACGATGCTTAGAGACTAATCCTGGCCACATTGATCCGGCTCATTCAGTTTCAAAGCCAAAGGATAATTAGCGAATTAACAAATATATCGATACCGGAAACCATGACCAGAAACTCTGATTGGAGTGATGACAAATGGGAGGCCACAAAGCTTTTCACACATATAAGAACTTTACAGAGATGCTATAGAAGCAACACAAGTGCAGCAAGACAGAAACAAATTGCACCAATCCCAACCGGTTCCCCCCACCAAAAGGCCACAGCTATGGTTAATCAACACTGTTTAAGTCCATCCATCTAATTTTGTTTACACTGAATACACCGCCCCCCCCAAGTAGGTTAGACTTTATGCACATGTTGCTGAGACAACCAATCCAACAACTGCTGTGAAGAACTGAAAGATGCTCAAACGAATCTTAAACTAAATCTTAATGCACATTTAGAAAACAGGAGTCTGCTGTAGTTCTTTAGAGCGACAGCAGACTGTGTGCAAACAAAACCGAGGTTTGAAACAGAGTTGAAATGCTCGACCCTCTGATTATACAGTACCCACAAAAATGTAAATATTCAATCACAGTGAATGCTAGCGCAGAGATAATGAACACTGGCATTGTGTAAATGTGTAAATCAATAACAGTGTACATGTACCTCACTATGTTTGTCTATGACGGTCACAAAGGACTGCAGGCTGGTCAATGCTCAGCCACCACAGCACGACGGAAAGCTCAATCTGCAGCTCCAGGTCACTATTACTACAGATCTTAAACTTGAAAGATTTTCAGAACTCTACTTATTAATACGTAGATTCAACCATACTACAGGAATACTCCTGTACTCATTTTCACACATGATTAGACAGGAATATTAGTTGTCTCAGGTGAGGTTATAAAAGGCACTGACCTTTCTTCATGGAAAGCAATTTGTCTGATAATCTGGGCCTAAAGCCAAGAGCACAGTCTCAGTCAGTCCACCGCAGACAGGCAAATCCCCATTATGACCCTCTCATCTATTTATACCCCCAGGCTCAGTGCAATGAGGAAAAACATCACCTTAACTTCAGACATAATATTGATTCTGTAGCATAAACCTGTAACATCTCTAATGCCTGCTGTGGTACACCTATTAACTTTAAAGTCACAAGCACACAGACATATCAGCTGCTATGATTCCTTTAATATTATATTAGTCCTAAGAGTGATTTCATTACATTGAATTTCTTTAATTTATAAACTTGTGAGATGAAGTATCTTATTTTAGAAGCATCTATGTGACTAAGTCTCAGTACACTAATTGGTGCACTTTTCATGTCTTTATTGAATACATTTAGAATCACAGAGCACAGGCTGGGAAAAGGAAGTAAACCAGTATGCTAGAAACATCTGCGATTTAAGGATGTGAGATTAAAACTGCAGCAGCAGACGGTCCACTGTGCTCTCTGCAGACATCTCTTTTCAAACTTGCTTTAAGACCTGATTATTATTCTACAACAAACCAGAGACCACGCTCCCTGGAAATACCAGACAAAACATTGACAAATGCCAACATTTCGCAGTTGAATCAAGAAATCCCAGAAACGCTGATGAACTGAAACACCAACTATAGGAAGGTTGTTGGTACTACTAAAAGGTCAAAAGTTCACTTGTGTCCACCAGTCTGCCTCTTGAGTGTTTATTCATGGAAGTATACGGGAAAGCTAAACTGTGTGTGTTATTAGTTTGCCAGACTGTGTTTGTGTATCATTTCACTTGGAGAAACATCAGACCACATTTCATAATTGATCATGACAAAAGTCCTGGTAATTCTGAAGGGGTCCCAGTTTTTTTTCTTGCAACTTTAAAGGGACATTGCATTTTGCATATTGCAGGATTGGGGCATTAGTGTCCTCTATACTGTAAAAAAAAAATCCATTATAGCTAAACAGTCACGATGCCTTGGATTTTATATTCAAAAGTATTAAAAAAGGAGAGCTAGAATGACATAATCGATTATAGCAAAATCTATCCCAAACAGAAAATGCAATCGTCATATTACCCACCTCAAATTAATCAACCACAGAAAACTAGTCAATGCTGATTTTACTCATAATCAGCAGTATAAAACTGACTATTTGCTATTTTCATCTGCCAAATCACTCTGCGGCTTCAAAGTTGTGAAATATTGAGCAAGGCTAAAACAAACTACCCTCAATCGTGAAAGTAAAGCAAGACACTTGAATCAACTACGTGAAATCAGCATAACACACAACAGAAATCCACAGATCCTACTTCTTTTGTTCTTCCTAGGTGCTGACTAATCACTAGGGAACTAGAGTACCATAGCAACGAGCATCTGCTCAAACGTGTGTGTGTGTGTGTGTAACCAGGTTGCCTTCAGATAACCAAGTTAAAGAAATTATGTTGCCAGGTTGTCCTCAGATAACCTAAACCCTTGGTTACGCTTCGCTTCGAGTGTATCGGAGTGAAACACTCTCGGTACAATTTATTCTTACAGACTCGTTTCAAATTGGTAGCTTAAAAGAATGAATGAGCGCCCGGAGTGTGATGAGTAGTCAGGTGTTTATTCCTGAAACCGGGGCCAGGACCACCTACCCTATGTAAAGGACCCTTCTAGATGCTAATATCAACAAGCTAATTGTTAGCGTTATTTGGTCAACACTGGCAGAGTAAACAGCAAGCTAGGCAGTAACAAACCAACACAGAAACCTTACCTTTGCCTTTCCTGAATTCATTCTTTAGGGATCGAGACGTTTTCATTAAAGGTGCCCGAGATCTTGTAAACAGGATTAACGCCATGCTTTCAGTATGCAAGTGGTTATCTTCACCTTAAGTTAGAAGGTAGCTATCGGGTTAGCGAGCTACTGCTTTTTCGAGAAGTCGAAACGGAAAGGCCTCTAACTTGGTACATATAACTGACAATTCCTTAGATCGATTTAACAAGCCAGGCCGCATATATAACTGCAGATGGGAAAATTTAGCTCCATGTCATGCCTTCCCTGTTACGCATATGACAGCTAGCCGGGCCAGGGTTCCACAATGACGTCAAACCGTGCGGCAGCGGTTAAAAAAAGCAGCTTCCGGTGACTTTATCAAATAAAAGCCTCCATTTCAGAGTAGAAGTGAGAGACGAAGTAGTATCCGACCGCTTTATGATACCACAAATGCGAATAATTATATATATATAATTTTATAAGACGTGTAGCATGAATTTGCGTATAGATATAATCTAAATATATAAGGAACCACAGATATGACAGATTTGTCTTTTTAACATTTTTCTTTATTCTTTTTTTTGACAGGAAAATGTACAGGCCATGACTGTACATCATTCAGAAATAAGGCAAACTAGTATTAAACGAATATACAGGGGCATATTAGGATGTAAATGAGTGTGATGTGTAAATAAATTAAATAAATACATAGACATATTTATACGTATTTAGTTACATAAATATTTAAGTAAAGTAAGGAGATGCCAGTACTGGTAAATAAAGGGTGGGGTGGAAGGGGTGGTGAGAAGACAATCAGTAACTATGTTGGCATACATGAAATAGTAGGAGACTCTCCCATATTTCAAAGATTACCACGGCTAAGCATCAATTCATTTTTTAGTCAAGCAAGCTTGTTCGTTCAGCAGTCAGTGGACACTTAATTACACTGATGTCTGAGACAGCCTGAGAGTCAGTAACCCGGTGACCTGCATGCTGTCCAAATTTTGGGATTACCCTAGTTGGTTCAGTTCAAAATAACCCAGTGACCTTCGTGAGGTAGTTTAATTTAGTGTTTTTTATTCCAGTTAGTTAATTTTAGATAAAATTATAACAGAACAAAAGTCTGCATCATACCGCTTGCTCAGTTTATTTTATATACGTATACGGAGGACATCTAAAAAGAAAAGCTGAACAAAGAGAGACAGGACAGAATTACACTGATGATGACATTTAAATCCTCCAAAGCAGCCCGTACGTAAAAGTTAATGACAAATATGATGTTTTTCTCAGAACCTTATTCTATATGTTTGATAAAAACAGTAGTCAATTGCCATGTAGCACATTAAAAGAAGAGGTGGCTTACTGGTATGACAAACGGAATCTAACAGATACAGATATACATATTTTTTTTACATATTTAGTTGCTAAATATTTGAGTAAAAATATTTTAGAATTCCTCCATTTGTGGAGTAATGTTAAATGTTGCTTAACAGTTTTGCACCTGCTGCTGAGTTACAGAAGGGGAGATTTTGTCTTCTGTTTTAAGTAATTAAAGTACCCTGTATGCCAGTGTTATGATGCCTTTCTCTCACTTGATCTGTGTTCACTTTGTGGTAAAATGTTACAAAGCTTAATCCTGACCAGGACTTCAGCTCAGAGACGACCTGTGACATCTTTCTTAACTACATACTAGATTTAACCCAGAGAATTACCTAAAGAAACCATCAAACCAACAAAATGGTTATTCTGAATTACTCGTTTAAGTTATGTGTAATCAGCACCATAATATTACCAAATATA